TCCTTCCACTAGAGACTTGGGATCCTCTCCCTCTCTCGCCTATTTATAACCCCTACTGCAAACCAAGTGCCGGTCACACGAGCAGCAGTGAACTGGACGTAGGGATGTTTCGCCTGAACCAGTATAAACCCTTGTGTCCTCCGAGCACACCATCTGGGTCAGACACGCAAATACAAATTTACTTGTCGGTGGTCCGAAAACACCGACACCCATGCTTTTAAAAAAAAATCAACTATCCAATCCTCGTACTCCCTCCGTCCCAAAAAGAAGAAAGCTATAGGGTTCGTGCCGGTCAAACTTTTTTAAATTTAACTATATTTATAGAAAATATTAGTAATATTTATATCTCCATATAAGTTCATTAAATATATCCAAAGATTCATCTAATGATACCAATTATGCACCATAAATGTTAATATTTTTTAATATATATTTGGTCAAAGTTGAGATTGTTTGACTCCGATCCTCAGGAAGTGAGAATGGCATTCTTTGTGGTACGAAGCACTTATCTCTTTGAACGCACACACATGCACGCTATCATTATGAGCATCTTAGATAGCGTACCTTACACACGATGTTAGCGTTTGGTTCAGGGCAACCATACACGCTATCCTTATGAATATCTTAGATAGCGTACCTTACACGCGGTGTTAGCGTTTGGTTCAGGGCAACAATACACGCTATCATTATGAGCATCTTAGATAGCATACCTTACATGCGGTGTTAGCGTTTGGTTCAGGGCAACCATACACGCTATCCTTATGAGCATCTTAGATAGTGTACCTTACACGCGGCGTTAGCGTTTGGTTTAGGGCAACCATACACGCTATCCTTATGAGCATCTTCGACAATATATGTTACACGCGGTGGCGTTAGCGTTTGGTTTCAGGGCGGGTCAGGGACAAGTTGTCCCAGTGTTTGATTCTGAGACAGGCAAGGGCAAGATCGTCCTACCTGAGAACATTCTACAAGATTCAAGGACACTGATCATTTTTTTGTGGAACACACTCGCCCCACTTCCAAAGTGTGGTCTCGGTCTGCACTTCCTTTGCTTCACGTGTTTCGCCATGGGCATCCAAGCAGAGTCGGCTGTACACAACATTGCGAGGGGTCAGCCGAGGGCAACCATCACATCCGAGCGGGCCCGACCATGGGCAGAAGCACGGGCTAGACATGGGAGGAAACCGCATTTAAGAGAGGCTAACCGTGGGTGAGGGCCTGCGTGTGCCCAGGTGTAGGCATTTGCGTGCGGCCTCCGACACGTGAGCTCTAGCGCGGAGCTTCAAACAGATGTGGAGGTGGCTGAAGGTGGGCGGAGGTGGCTAGATCGAGACAGAGTCTAGAGGGCAGTGTGGAGACGGCTGGAGGGTACGGTGACATCTAGACGAGGAAGAAGATGATAAATTAGGCTTTTAACAGTAGCATAATAGATCTAAAATGGCCGTGTATCCTTTCTCTAGTCGTCCCCTACCAAACGCAAAACAGGAATGTCCATGTTCCACCAACCAAACACAAACATGTGATGGTCCTATTTTAGAAAACTAGAATGGATCTATCCCATCTCTCCTCGTCTCCAGACCAAATGCAACGCGCCTTACTATCGACAAATACAACGTCAGACCAAATGCAACGCGCCTTACTATCGACAAATACAACGTCTATCATTGAAAAAGTACCATAACATAAGGAGTAGCAAGTGTGCATCCACCTTTCTCATTAGTCTTGTTTAGGTCAAGTGAGAGTTTGTGCTTGTTACTCTTGGTGATCGGCATCACCTAGATGGCTTGGTGATGATTGGGAGCTTGGTGATCTCTCGATGGTGATTGTGAGAGGCCTAGCTCATGTTGTAAACGGTTGTGGGCGATTCACCGTGCTGGAGTGGCAAAGCATCAACCCGCAGATAGCACTTAGTCCTTGCGCGGATCGAGTGGGAGCGATATCCTTGCACGGATGCTCCAACGAGGACTATTGGAGAGTGTCAACTCTCCGATATCTCAAAAAACATTGTCGCGTTCGTAACCCTTCTCCTTTACATTTGAGCAATTTCATTCATGTCTTTACATTACTAGAATTGTCATACTAGTGTAGGGTTGGAACCTAGGATGTAAAACTTTTGTGCATAGCATAGAAACACAATCTAGGCACATGGGTGAAGTGGGCTAAGCAGTATGTTTTAATTGTTGCGAGAAAAATTTAGATTGGCCCAATTTATCCGTCCCTTTTGGACATCTTGATCCTTTCTACGACATCCTCAACAATAAAGTCAACTTGCTTGTTTATATGAACTTAAAAAAAATAAAAATAGCATGCTAAGTATAAATTGTGTAAGCATAGACACATAAATTAAAAGAAAGTATACGAGCTTAACTCTTCGTAAAGAGTTAGCTTATCATTCTCTTCTTTTTATATGAATAAAATATTTTATAAAAGCTAGCTCTTTTAACACTATTGGAGCTGCCTTAAGTGGACGATTGAGTGTCAGTGTAGCTGCGCGTTTTTTTTTTTTGGCGACGTAGCTGCGCGGTGCTTGTGTGGCGTGTCCGGACTGGTTTCTTCATGTAATCCAAATGCTGGCAATTATATATAATCGGTTTTCCTTGTCCCATGGTTATTAACAGTATATACTAAAAAAAGAGTTAGTTTACATGCATGGACCATTATTATATTATATATGGAGAGAGAAGTAGATATTCGATACCACCAGAAGTCCAGAACTAGCAAAAGCTCGTCTATATGCTTGCTCCATGGCCATCATGTGTCCCCTATGGTCTGCTGGTCTCCACACGGTTTGCGTAGTTATGGTGCGCTCAAGACGGAGTGCTGTGTGCCCGCCCGGTTGTGGTTGGCACTGGTGGACCCTTGTGCACGTTCTATATTCGCTTGTCATCCGCCAAGGACACATATTATATGCATGGTTGGTGACCACATGCATGTGGCTCGACCTACGCACTATACTCTGGCTAGCTACTCTATGTAGCTAGTCCAAAGTCCCTATTGCTATTTCCCGTGAAGGGCCACAGAGCACTCTAGCTAAAAAGGATTGTGCATATGGTCGGCTGGCTCGTTGTTGGCTTCTCGAAAAACATGACGGCATGACATACATATCATGCACGCGTCATTTTCTTCCATTCTATTTCTAGGTTAATGTATGTACAATTATAAGTCGACTTAATCTAGAATGGAGTGAGTACTAGGAAAGAGCTGTTTCTAAATATGGCACTCATCCAAGACGACTTCGCGTGTGTTGTACGTGTCGGGTGCTTGTAGTTGCGACACGCATGGGCGCATGGTTCCCACACCCATCGAGGTTCGAGCCTCAGAGTGCCCATTTCAAAGCAAAAGGTAGAAAAGGAGAAGTGGTTGTGCATCCTTAGTGGAAACACTGGAGATTATCATGGGCCAAAAACATATCCTCAAAGCAAAGACCGAAACGGGCCCTTGAACAGCACGGGCGGCCTGTGTTATTGCCACGGTTCCTCTCCTCCCCCATGGGCATGGGCCATCTCCCGCAGTCGACAGCGCCCGTGGCTCAAGCCAAGCCCACGTCTCGGGCGAGTGCTGGGAGGACGCCGGCCGTGAGACGTGACGATGCCGGGTCGGCACTGGCGACTTTTCGCTCGCATCACCATATGCTCAGCATTCTCAAGTCGATCTTGCACGCCATGAGACAAAAGTCCAAAGAGAATGGATGGCACAGGCAGAGGCAGGCATCTACCCGCAGTCGTCCCCCACCACGAGCCGCCCGACCGGCCTGACCTGACGCTAACCGCTCGTCCGAATTCCTACTCTGTTTCCCCGGCGAGTCACGTCAAGTGCGGTGGACAGAACCGACAAAGCGGCCGCCGGACTCCGGCACGCGCCGCGCGTCTCCGTCGCCGCCGACCGTCCGCCAGCACCACCATGGGTGCGGTCTGCCGCGGTGACGAGCGCAGTGCCCGTGCGACGACGTAGCGTAGCGCACCTTCTTTCCGCCGCGCGCGCACATGCATGCGTGATCCGAGGCAGGCAGGAAGCAGTGCATCGACGGCGATCCCCCACCTCCCAAGTCAACGGCACGTCTGCGACAGCCAGCCAACTACAGGCGTCGCTAGCAGTGCCTGCGCCGCGCGCCACACGGCCAGCGGCGCGTGTTGGTTGCAGTTGCCAGCTGCAGCGGCCGCCGCGGACAACGATGCGGTACCCGGAACACACGGCACCTGCTGCTGCTCTCTTTAAAGTATGCTATACTACTATTTCGTGGTGCAAGGCAAACACGCCATGTTAAAAAAAAAAACATATGCAATGACCAATGAGAATATGAGCCTCTTTGAGTTAGGAGGTAGAGCGGCGCTTAACTTGCAGCGCAGAAATTCATCGCGACAAGTGTTGGCGAGAAACCTAAAGATATATATTTTTTTAGAAAAAAACTAGAAACCTAAAGATTTTGCTTTGGCTGTCAAATACTTTCACCAACAGTATTTACTGTGGTACTTCTAAATAACCATGGACCGTTGATCTAAATGGTTATTAGCACATATTACTTCATAAGAGGTAATATAAGGAGTACATATTTATATCTTTTTTTAGTTTGAGAAATAGGAAAAATAAAAAAAAATCTATCAAACAAATCTATATCAGCTAACAGTAGAGATATGCAGACTATTAGATATGAATGGATAACCCTCTAAATAGATTGAAACTGTCATATTTTTTAATTAATGAAAAATATGCGAACCATTTGCAACCCCTCCACCTGGCCCCCATGTCAGGCTTGTAGGCCCGAATCGCGGACCCCACCTGTAAGTGATTGCAAATTTAGTAATGGTAGGCACGTGCTGCGTCTCCGAAGAGAAAAGGATGCGAAGAACAGGGACCCCGCACCTTCCTGCCATCCTGCTGCTGCCGCCGCTACTCCAGCTCTACTCCACCTCACGAGTCTCTCACACCTCCCCCCTCCTTTTTAGGGAGAGAAAGCAACGAAACGCCGAGAGAGGGGCGTGCGAGCGGAGCGGGAGGAGGAGATGGAGCGGGCGGCGCCGGTGAGGAGCTCCCACACCTCCACGGCCGACCTACTCGCGTGGCCGCAGCCGCAGGGCCCCGCCCCCGCCGCCACGCCGTCGCCGCCGCGCCGGCCCGGCCAGGTAACAGCACCACCACCCTTCTTCGCTCCCCTCCTTCTCCCTCCACGCGTAGCTGCATCTTCCTTCCCCGATGCGTGCCGCTCTTGATTGACCATCTAGCTCGCATCGCTCCGTTGCGCGCAGCCGTCGGAGGCTATCAGGAAGGTGGTGTTCGGGGGTCAGGTCACCGAGGAGGAGGCCGGCAGCCTCACCAAGAGGTCAGATTGCTTCCTACTCCCAATCCCCGCTTCTTCTCCTGCTCTCGCGCGTGGTACTTCGATTCGGGTCAACAGATTCGTTCACCTCGAATATGACTCTCAACCCTGATGAGTGATGACCGCTCCTCCAGGAAGCCGTGCTCCGCGCCCAAGTGGAAGGAGATGACGGGGAGCGGCATATTCGCTGCCGGGAGCAATGGCGACGCTGGGGAGGCAGCTGCTGCCGCGAAGCCCGCCCGAACCGCCTCGCGCCAGGTGCCGAAATCTGTGCAAACATTTTGTTTGGATCGACATTTCTGCTTGATTGTGTGTGGTTGCGTGCTACATTGTTGTTTGGATGCGCTTGGATTCACATGCCATACTGGGTGCTATGTACGTGGTACTTGTTCTACGTATGCTGGCCATATACCCCCTTGTTTCATGTGGCATTTCACGACGAAATTAATGAAGCATATCTGTCACATTGGGTGAACATTTGTTGGGTTCAGTACGCACTTTTCGTCCATGTGCAATAATTCTATAGATCTTAGGTGCATGGTACTAGAACTGCAGTTGCGGGACACTCTTTGCAATGTGCGGATGTTTAATGACTACGACTGCTCTGAGAATGTTTTAACTTTGTTACCATGTTACTGGACTTTCCATGAAACAAATTAGAAATTGAAGTTTAATTGGTGGATGGAGTCTAGAAATTTTAGTGACCCACTGCATAAATGTTTGTTTCAATAGGTAATGGGTTTTGCTTCGCTACACCTCTTTTGCAGTAGTAACAAATCTGAAACCATAGTTACCAGGAATTAAGGAAAGTATTCTTGTACCAAAAATTTAAGTTAACTAACTCTGGCTGATACTACTGAAATGGCTAGATTGCAGATTAAAGTATTTCAGAACATGAATCTCTTTTTAGCCTAAAAATCTATTTTGATCTACTTGATTCATCCATGCAGAATTTGGACAGAAGATGCATGCCATGGCTCCTTCTTACCTATCTCATCTCTGACAAAGTTTGGATCACAAAATTATGCCCATAATAGCAATTTAGTACTCCCTCTATTCCAAATTATAAGACATTTTGCCTTTTCTAATTACAGAGATTTTACTATACACTTAGATATACACTATGTCTAGATACATAGTAAAAGCAATGTATTTAAAAAGGCCAAAACGTCTTATAGTTTGGAATGGAGGGAGTATATATGTGCAGAAATAAGTCTAGAGGAAAGCAACCAAAACCTATCCTGCCATCTACTGAATATAAATTAATATGGAACAATTGGTTGAGTATAAGAGGTCTGCATTCTTTTATGCTATATATGCATGGCTGAATGGCTCACACATGGGGTGTTCTTCATCTATGACTTTATCAAATCTCACCAAACTTGAATAAGCTGTTTACTGATTTTCCCCAGCATATGTGTGGTGCCAGCAACTTATCACATGGGGGATTCTTTCATCTTTGACCAGATCAAGTCTCACCTAGATTGAATCAAAACTGATTATTTTTTCAACAAATTGAGCAGCAACTTACAGTTCCAAATTTGTAGCAACCATAGTTAACCTATATTTTTTCAATTTGCCCCTGCTCGCAGTGATGGTGGCGTTGTTTTTTTCTTATAAGGTTGTCCAAAGCAAAATCCAAGTTGAAATAGTCATGATTGTGAATCAAAATGCATAAAGCAGAGGTAATGGTTCCAATGATCGTACCATAATTATTTGGCAATCAAATCAATAATAAGCCTTTTCTTTATATTAACAGACCATAGTTCCAAAATCATGGTTCGTCAAGTTAGTGGTAGGGGTCCATGGTTCACCACTTTCAAGAAGTTGCATGCACCAAGCAGTTCAACCCAAAAGTTTAAGGTGAGGGGGAGAGTCGGGCAATTCACTTATACTTTGGCACTCCCTCCTCACGTGTAGGCTTACTCAGGCCTCAAATGTGGAAGTATGAGCTAGCTGTAATATATTTTATTTAATTATGCCCGTCAGGATTTGAACTCGAGACCTTTGGCTTTGAATCTCTGTTACCATATTAAGTTGCATGCACCGACTAGTTCACCCAAAAGCTTAAGTGATGCGGAAGGTGGGAAATTCAATTGAGGCTTTCTCAGGTCTCAAACGTGGAATAGGAGCAAACAACAATTATTTGCAACTCAAGCTTAAACTAATGGGGAGAGGTGAGCAATTCACTTCTATACTTTAATAAGGGGTATACCTCTTCGGTCTGTGAATCAAAACATGTGTTTGTGAATCACAAACGGGTTCACGGATTGGATGAAATGTAGTGTCAGTCAGATTGATGAGAATATGGCACAAACCAATAGCTGCAGAATATATGTTTAGAGGAGCCAGAGAAGATAAGTGAATAAAGAAAAAATAAATAAAAGAGAAGGAAACATAGATTGTGCTGCCATGTGCTGGCCCATCTAGCCAAATGTCCATCTAACAGAACCCTTATTCTTGTCTTTTCTCTCAAGTCTCCATTGCATGAGGAGCTGCTGCTTTCTTGTTTCCTCATCCACTTCTCTCTCTGTTACCGAAAAAACCAGAACTGCCACACAGAAATTGATCACTGCCGACCAGCATCGTGCACCAGAGGCTAGCAAAACCTGACGCCCATGGCCTCCTCTCTCTCCATTTCTCAGTTTCATTGGAGATGGCCTGAGCTGTGTTCATTGCTGCTTCTCCCCAAGTCATGTGGTGTCTGCTGATTGCGGGTAGCCCTCTTCAATGTGAGATCTGATGAAGAGTGATGGCTGCTCTTGCGTCATGGTTAGGCCACTGCTCTATGCGGAGTGACGGCTTCAGTGCTTGTTTGCTGCCATCAGGACTTTGGTTTGGCCAAGCCCCTGTGAACCACTGCCCTTAGCAATTCAGATTGGGCTCGCGTCTTCTGTATCGTGGTGTGTCCTACATGCACTATTCTGGTAACTATGTAGTCTGTAACAGACTACTGTTATTTAGTGATTCTCTTTTGGCTAATTTTGGTGTAGTGATTCAGTAATTAGCTGTGTGACTTCTTTTCTTTCTTTTGGGGGTGGGGGGGTCATGACCTAGATTTTTCTGTCTTGTACTTGAAAGGAATCAAGAAAATGAATTGTAAAGCATGATTTACTGGTGACTGATTCAGTTTCATATTGCCTGCAGGCGATCAGTACTGTAAGCCACATCTCGTTCGCTGAGGATGGAACTGATCCTCCCAAAAAGCCCACTTCAGTAGCTGAGGTGGCAAAGCAGCGTGAGCTTAGTGGTACTCTTCAAAGTGAGGCAGATAGTAAGATGAAGAAGCAGATATCAAATGCAAAATCCAAGGAGCTCAGCGGCCACGACATCTTTGCTGATACTCCGGATTCCAGATCTAACAGGGCAAGGAACTCATCAAATGGCAGCACAGCCTCATACACACCTGTCAAAAATACAAACGTATTTCAGCTGCAACATATCTGGTACTCCATTTGCATTTTGCTGTTCAGAATGTTATTCAACTAATGTTGTCTTAAACAACAGGCGAGCACCTTCTCGTTTGGAGAGGCCAACACTGACAGCGTGCCGAAGACAGCAAAGAAGATAACTGGCAAGAAGGTCAACGACCTCACCGGCAATGACATCTTCAAGGGAGATGCGCCACCAGCTTCTGCAGAGAAGCATCTGAGCACCGCAAAGCTGAAGGAGATTACTGGAAGCAACATTTTTGCAGATGGGAAGGAACCAATCCGTGAGCGTGTAGGTGGAAACCGCAAGCCTCCTGGCGGTGAGAGCAGCATCGCGCTGATTTAGCATATCCTGGAATGGTGATGGACCCTGTCTTAGTCCGGGACTCCGTGTCAACCCCTGTAGGAGGATTTCGACCAGGCGGGCTGTTGGATCGATCGTCAGTTTGGTGTCTTGTTCTTGATCATGATTCGGCAGTGAAGAGCCCCGTTTTAGTCCTGATGATGATCTAGTTTAACTGTTGGTGTGTGCATGTTTGGTTTGGTTGTGAGATACCCCCGTCATTCTCATGTCAGTGTGTAGTGTGTACGGTTGATATGTTTTTACAAATAATAACTTGAGTCTGAACCGAGCTCACGTCTTGCACCATCAAATTACTAGCAACAGTGTATGTACCAAGCGTTGGCTATTTTGCAACCTGAAAAGATGCACGATACACCTTGCGTGCAATCAATTTACAATCGACGGATATGTGTTATACATCACCCGATAAATGTTCATATCATGAAGATGATGATTATTATCACCCGATAAATGTTCATATCATGAAGATTATTCTATTTATGATGTTTTTCTGTAGTTAAATTTACTGAAAAAGCATGACAGTCTTAGTGCTCCATTCTATCAAGGACATAAATTTGTTTCCCAATGACAACAATGAAAGTTTCAGTAGCGAAGTAATGTAACGTTCAAAAGAGAGACAATTTGTCGAAGTGGCTATTTTTAAAGTATTAATTAAACGTTTGTACAATTCAATAGTCCGAGAACTAGTGTTGACATCTAACATTTTCAAAAAGAAGGCGATCCTAGACTGGCTTGCAGAAACCGGGCCTAGCCGGTGTTCTAACTTTGTAAAATGTGGATTTTTAACCTTTTCTTAAAACAAATTTTAAATCTAACATCGTTGCTTTTTTATTTTCGAATCTAACCCGTTTGGCCGCGCCTAAGTCCCTAGCGCGGCCAAAACATGCTGCTGCGCCACATGCATCGGCGTGACATGATCTGCCACCTTGGACAACCGCGCCAACCAGATTGGCGCGGCAAGCGCAAACTTAGAAAAATTATATATTTTTCATATGATCTCGAATGAAGATGATATTTATATAAAAATTGTAGCCCTCGGTGAGATCTACAACTTTCTAGTTTTGAGTTTTTTTTTATTTAAGGTCGCTAAGATGCTAAAAAATTAAATAAATTTTCAGCAGTATATTAATCGCGTAGAAGAGCTCGTCGCCTTGGAAAAAATCATATCTTTCTTATATGGTGTCAAATGAAGATACTTTCTATACTAAAGTTGTAGCTCTCGATGTGATCTACAACTTTATAGTTTCGAGTTTTTCTATTTGAGGTCATTAAGATGCAAAAAAAATAAAGTTTCAGCAGCATATTAATCGCATATAAGCTCTTGTCGCCTTAGAAAAATCATATCTTTTTTGTACGATGCCAATGAAGATACTTTTTATATATATAAAAGTTGTAGCTCTTGATGAGATCTATAATTTTATAGTTTTAAGTTTTTTTTTTTTGAGAGGTCGTTAAGATGCTAAACAATAATAAAAGGTTTTTGCAGTATATTAACGAGAAGAAAATCCCCGCGTATTGCTACGAGATTCTGCATTTTGCATGTGGCGCGGCAGTGTGTTTTTGCCGCGCCAGGGACTTAGGCACGGCCAAACAGGTTAGGTTCGAAAATAAAAAAGCAACGGTGTTAGATTTAAAATTGGTTTTAAAAAGTTAAAAAAAAATGTAACAGGCTCTACCACTACACGTGTATACGTGATATCAGTCAAAAACAATATATAACACTCAATACTGCAGTGATATGATTTTCATTCGAACCATATCGGTTCATCTAATGCCATCCTAACTCTTAAATTTACACAATCCTGCCATGCATGGAAATAATAGTTTTGTACTGGCCTATATGAACCAACTCCGCTCGTTAAGAAAACGAGCTAAAATTCTACCTCCACTCGGCTTGTTTAGCTTGTGAGCCAACTCGGCTCTCATTAATAAACCTGTTCGGTTGGTTGGATCGTATCGTTGCTGGTTTGTTTATGTGAGAGAGAAGTACTGCTGACTGGTCGCGTAAATAGTAGCCATGTGAGGGGACTGGCCAGCCAGCCCCAGCCCAGCGATCAGGCTAAATAGCTACAACCAATGATCATGCAAGAGCTACTAATTAGTTCCATGTAAAAAAAAAGAGATCCATGCAAGCATTAAGCCCAAAAAATAAATACAATGCTTATCGTATATCAGTTTCTAGACATCAATTCGTGCATATAACATACTCAAGTTCCATTATTGGCGGTTTAAGGTGTTGGACTACAAAGTACTTAGCCCTTTTATCAAGCTAGCTTGTGAACCAACTCAGACTAATCCATAAACTTAACGAACTAAAATGCTAGCTCGCTCATTTAATTAGTTGCTTATAGAGAATGTCCAATGTTCTACATAACCTCTACGATCCTAGTGGGAATGCATGTGCCATTTTCTACCGGTTTCTGGATTCTAAATTGTGTCGTGTTGGTTTGTATAAATACACAACAAAAACTATATATCGATAAAAAAACGATCCGAATTATAATTTATAACCGATGGAGTACTAATTATTATCATATAATATTAAGAAGATGATGCTGAGTTAGGCGAGATATTTGCAATGCCAGCATGATTTATCTGGGACCCACTTCTTCAATTTGATGAGACAGCTTACCGACATTCCGCCCCCACTTCCTCCACCTCATGAGTCGAGCCTCCGTGGACGCCGCCGCATTTGCCTTGATCTCCAATCCCTTCCTTCCTTTGGAGAGAGAGAGAGAGAGGGGGAAGGAAGGAGAGGGGCAGGGAGATGGATCGGGCGGCCCCCGTGAGGAGCTCCCACACCTCGACGGCCGGCCTGCTCGCGTGGCCTCACCCCGATGGCGCCGGGTCGCTGCCAGCACGCCGGCCTAACCAGGTGACCCCGCTCTTCTGTTCTCCTTCTCCTGTTCCTCCACCATTCTCCCCGCGCGGCGCGCTGCTTGTGATCGGCGTTGATCTCTTATTGTTCCTCGCTCGCCCTGCAGCCGACGGAGGAATTCAGGAAGGTGGTGTTTGGGGGTCAGGTCACCGAGGAGGCTGACGGCCACAACAAGACGAAGATGTGAGATAGCTTCCGCGCCTTCATGGCCGGATTCCTCTCTCTCCGCTCCTGTGATTCGGATCTCAAGTCGTTCATGTGCCTGCTTACTAATTTCGGCTGCTCCTGCTCTGATCATTACAGGAGGACGACGGGCTCCGCGCCCAAGTCGAAGGAGATAACAGGGATCGGCATATTCAAGGCCGAGAGCGCCGCCGCCGCCGTCGCAACTGCCTCCCGTGATCGTCAGGTGCACAACTTTGGATCTGCATTCTATGTGTGTGGGGTGGGACATTGTTTGGCATTGATCTTCTGCACAGAGTACTCGTTGTGTATGCTGGGGATAGTTCCTTTTGTTTCACGTGGCATGTCGACAGGATCAATGAAGAATGCCTATGAGATTTTTTTTTGAAGGTTAATGCCTATCAGATTTGTTGCATAAAGTGCCGGGATTGATTTCCGGTTTTGTCAATGTTCAATAATGCTATAGATCTTAGCCTCATGTTACTAGAAGTAGAGTTTTCAGTGTTCTCAAGCCTTGTTGGCAGATTTTTATTCAACAAAGTGGAAGTGCAAATCTGATCGATTAAAAAAAGACCTAGAGATTCTGCATTGTCACGACATTACTGATCTGATTGATTGAGATTCAGTTAACCTCTTATGCTGTTCTGTATTGTTCTTAATTACTCTTCGTGAACCAAAATTGGTGTAAAGCAGAAGTCTTATGTTATTCTTAATTCTTATAATAAATAGTACAGTAAAAATATCTATGTATCGTGATTGAGGGGGGAAATGTAGGTCTGATCGTGATTGCAGTTCCAACCATCATATTATCGTGATCAACTACGGTTATTGTTTTTCATTAAAGGATGATCAACTTTATAATTAGCCACTTCATGTAACAGACTACAAACTCTTTGTCAGCACTTCACATCTGGATATCTTTTGTTACCTATATGCCATAATTTGGTGGATCCATATAGTTAATTATGCATTTTATATTGTCTGCTGATGAGAGAACAGGAAAATGAACAAACGTTTCCCTTCTAAATGGCATACATATTACTTGAAAGAGATGAAGAAAAATTGATCATACCATTCTGTGTGATATGGTGAGACAATCAGCTTTTATAATAATCTGCAGGCTAGCCAGATCACCTTTTCTCAGGACGGGACCATTCCTCCCAGGAAGCCAACTTCAGTTGCTGGGGTGGCGAGACAGCGTGAGCTTAGCCATACCTTTGAGAGTGAGGGGGACAGTAAGATGAAGCGGCAGGTGTCCAGTGCAAAATCCAAGGAGCTCGGTGGTCATGACATCTTTGCTGATCATGAAGATCCCAAGCCCAACAGGTCAAGGAGATCAGACTATGGCAGCTCTTCTGCTCTGTCACCTGTAAAAAATGCAAATGTACTGCACGAGCCATTTTGGTAGCTTATTCACCTTGTGGTGGTTCCAAACTCTACTGAACAACTGTCGTTATCTTTGTTAACAGGTGAGCTCCTTCTCGTTTGGAGAGGCCGACACGGACAGCACAGTGAAAACAGCAAAGAAGAAAGGGACCAGCAACAAGTCTACTGATCTGAATGGCAAGGTCATCTCCGAGAGGGATTCAGCGCCTGCAGAGAAACAGCCTCTGAACCGCGTGAAGCCGAAAGGAATGAGCGGTAGCAGCATTTTTGCAGACGGGAAGGCCCCAACAACCGGAGATCATGCAGGCCGTCGGACCCGGCAGCCTCCTGGCGGCGACAGCAGCATCTTGCTGGGCTAGCGTGCATTGTCCTATGCCGCCGCATGGGTGGTTGGTCCGTCAGTCTGCGGCCCTGTTTTCGTGATCAGGCGATAGAGTCCCATCTCCAGTCCTTCAGATGATCTGGTTCACTTCTGGCTGGCGAGTGTATGGGTTTGGTCTGTGTTGGTTGTGACATGCCCGATGGAACAACCCTCTATCCCTATGGCGTTTGGTGCCGTTTTGTTGTGTACAATGGATGGCGTGTGGTGCCGTTTTGTTGTGGATATGCGTTTGTTTGGTTAAATAAGTAATTGGTGTATGGTACCAGTAGTCCGATCGAGCTCACGTGCAAAGTGGGCGAAGTTGCAAACCCATTGCGCTGACCTCATCGAAGGTTGCATGATAGCGCCACATAACCAATGTGTCTTTTCATTGTTTTTTTATTTCTTGACTGACATAGAGCAATATATCATCCACCAAGTCTCAGAAAATTAGGAATATTAGTTCATTTACCATGGTCTACTAAAAGCTTGAAACAAGATGCGGAAAATAAACTTTTTACCACTAATAGTAATTCTATCAGAATCTAAATTCATTAACAAAGTGGATTTAACTTTAGCATGCCCTCTCCTTTTCGCTTTGTAAGAAGTCAACAAATTTTCGATCTAACCAAATCTGTAGAAAAACACTAACATTTATGATACCGAATAATGATCATTAGCTTAATCATGTGATATATTTTCATAGTGCATCTATTTGGAGAGATAAATGTTTTTTTAAAAACTTAGTCAGGGTTTATATTGGTTGACTCCTTAGAAATGACAAAATGCACTCGTTTCGTGTTGGAGGGAGTATTTTGAGAAAGAGAGACAGATATGGTTTCTGAGTTCGTAGTGGACATCTGGATGAGTGAAAAAACAAAATCAAAATGTATACAGTACTTGTTTTCCCATCACAATGCAAACCTCAGCACTGCTTGTATCAGCATTTATACAGGTTGGTTTATCCATATATAATATTAAATGAAAATGAAAACATGTTAAAATCGCTCTGACTGTGAGACTGAGTGTAAACGGAGCGGAGCGGATATGCTCTCTCTGGGCCTCTGACCTTCCACGCGGCCTTTTGGCCCAAACAATAACAAACCAGGCCGGGCTGCCACTTGCCAGATACGACGGCGCGACCCAAACCGCGGCGCAGGTCCGGCCGTCCGGGAAACCCGCCCGGTTTGCACGGTTTCCCACGTCGGCCATCCGAATCCGAACCCAAAAGCCAAGCGGCGTCGCTGCTGCTTCGGCTGGGAAGTGGGAATGGGAATGGATGAGTGCAAGCGGAGCACGGCAAGTCGGCAGGCAACTTGCCCCGCGAGTCAGTCACGTGCCGGGCGCCACCTCCACCCTCCGGAGTCCAGAAGCCTCTGCCGCCCTCCCACTGGCCGGCGGGCCCCGCGGATGCGGACGGGTCCAGCCAATGGGGCGTCAGCAACTGATCGGATCGCGCCGGCGCGTCGTGTCCACTACCTCCGCACCGCCCCGGGGCCCACCACGCCCGCTCCCAGCCGCTAGTTAGTAAACAACCCCGCCGCGGATACGCGCCAAAGCCAGACAATTTCTTTCCTTTTTTTTTTCTCCTCCTTCTTCTCTGAAAAAAAAATTCCTTCTGGTAATTTCGGTGCTCAAGACGCCCATCTCTCCTCTCATCGTCTCTCTCATCCATCCTGTGCCAAAACAAAACGAAAAAATACTCCTCCTCCTCCTCCTCCTCCTGCTGCTAGAGCGAGAAGAAAAAAAAAGAAAAGAAAAAGAAAGGAGGGTAATCTCAGGAACCATCTAGAGACAGCGAGCGGCCCGTGGAGCGGAGCGAGCAAGCCTACTGCGCCGGCGGCGGCGTCCTCCCGAAGCAGAAGCGGTTAAGATCCATCCATCCCGTTCTTGAGTTCTTCTCTCCCCCTTTATTTGCTCGTTTCCTGGACGCGAATTCGGGCGTCGGCTTTGAGGTGGCCCCCGGTGCTGTTCTTGCGTCTTTTGTGTGGTGGGGCTGCGAGTTTTTGAGTTCCCCTCTGTTCTTGGGTCTTAAGAGGCGTTTTCGTTTTTTCCCCTTTCTTTTCTGGTGGTTCTGTGTTCGCTACCTTCTGTTTGATTGGTGTTTGGTGTCCTTGTGGTGATTCTTCATTCTCTCTGTGTCTGAAGGGGGGAAAATTGGATCTTTGGTGAAGTTGCTACTACTGTCTGCTGACTTTTTCCTACTGGTGATTTTCTTTGCTTTTGCAGGTTCTGATCCACAGCTCTCGATTCCGGAAGGTGAGAACATGTCCATTCAACTCCCCTGTTTCTTTGTTCTTTCTTGTATAGTTCTACTAGGTCCTTTTGGTGAGATGTATGCATCACTAGTTTTCCATGTTTTCTTGCACTGTTTGATCTGAACCCCAAGGCAGGCAGGCAACTGAACGTGGCTGTAGTAGTTTTGTTTAGAATAATTACTGTTGTAGCGACCTGTCTTGGAATATGATTGTTTGTTTAGTTTACAGTTTCTTTCATTTTTTCGGGTAATTCATCTCATTTTCTCTCCTTCTGGTTTGTAGGAGTTGGTCAAGAACTGGGGATCCTGAGTTGAATATGATATCAAATCCGGTGGACTGGTATAGTTTCGGACCCGGATAGAATTTGCAGGGATGCCAGATTGGAGGGTGCGTGAGGTAATCTCTGTTTCATGAATTCCTCCTCTTTTTCTGCCAAAAGTTTCATGAATTTCTTGTTGGACAATTGGACATAGCATCTGCATTTGATACATGAGATTCTTGATGGACAACTGGACATAGCAATCTCACTACTTTTTTTAGCCACTGCATTTGATACATTAGGTTATAACCAATGACGTGGAATGTATTTGTTTGCAACTTAGGAAAAAAAGAAACAATTTAGAAATACCAGTGTCCTTAGATTTAGTGGATGATACGATGTGGAAAAATCTGGAAGAACAATAGGTCAGTGTGTGTGAGGATAATTTTATTCAATTCCATATAACCTGCGTAGGTGTACAGGTTAATAAATCAGCCCGCCAGGATTTGGGACTCTGTATATAAGGTTCTTGGTACAATATACATGTTTATTCTCATTTCTATCAACTGATGTAAGAATGAATAATATTTCTATATTCTAGCATTCAAGCTAATTGGGTTATGCTTCAAATTTGTTCCCTGCTTAGTTAGCTTGAATGGCTTAGTTTTATTTATTGGTACTCAGCATCAGTTAGGTAAGCAGGTTAAGCCTTGTGTTGCTTTATGGAAGTGTCGGTGTTTATTTCATTGATGAAGTGCGCTTGCCACCCATAATAGATCCACAATTGTTTTTGCTCCAGATATATGAGTGGGGGTTTAGTGGGCTAGCCCCTCACACGTGAATGTGCCTAGTGTCTGCTTTGGTGAAGTAAGTTGACCAGTGTTTTAAATTTCAATGTTTGATTGACACGCTACAACTGTAGCATTAAATAACTTGATGTTGAACTCTGTAATGGATCATACCCTGGTCACAGTCAGCTGTTGTGTTGGACCTTGTCCACTAACAGTGCTTTGTTATGTTCTCTGGACCCTCGTTTATCTTGGCATTCCATTAGAGATTGCTAAATTTTTCTGCTCTAGGCCTATGACTAATAATGCTTTTACAGTTTGAAGGTAAATTCACTGATGAGTTTGCCCACAGTAATAGCAACGAACATGAAGGTGGAGTTGAGGCTCCTGGTGTCACTAGTAGTAAGAAGTTGAAGCATGCAGTTGCCAGTGAGAAAGTCCAAGGTCCCATCCCCAGAACAAATAGCTCAGATTCACCGAGATTTAATTCAGAGGACATCCAACGTGAGAACAGGATAGTATCCCAGAATATAAACAGTGCCGGTGACTGCATAGGAGACAGCAAAAATGGTTCCAATGCCTTTCCTTCAAGAGAAGAAAATACAGTCGCTCAAACCAGATGTCCAACAGATAACTGGAACTGCTGTCAGTTTGCACTGAGCAATGGTTCATCCATTCTCAATAACCACAGTGCTCCGCAGGATAGCCTCACTTATGGAGATAATGATCTAAACTACATCGATTGGCCTGGCATTGATAATTTTGAGGATGTTGACACATTATTCAGGTATTCAGAACTTCTAGCTTACTCGTTAAGATCTTAATTTGTATAAACAGGTGATAACTCTATTTATTTTTTCCCTCTCTTTTTTTTTTTTAAAAAAAAGGTCGTCTGATTCCACATATGATCAGCAGCAGCTGGAGAATGCAGATGGGTTGTCTTGGATTCCTTCTTCAGATGCTGTTTACTCTTCTGATGTTGCTATGCAGCAAGGGTTTGACTCGTCTTATTCAGATTATGGTATTCTGGATGATCTCTCAGCATTCCAATGTGCAGAAGATAAATCACTACCCTCAGTTGATCCTTCATCAGCTTTATGTGATAATCAATTCAATGATACCTACCTGTTCAGTGAGCAAAAGAATGTGAATGGATATGGCGAACAGGCAAGTCAACTGTTCCATTTTCCTTCTGTATTAGTTGACTCAGTATTTATCTTCTACCTTCTTTAATTCTTGTATCTCTTTTGTCCACAATAGATATACCAAGGGGATGTGATGGAGTTGTTGCCCACTGACCAGATATGCAGTGGACATGAAAACATTGATATGGTAATTTCCTAGGGCTATTTAATCATTGAAACAACACTGAATCATTGTAATTGATGCCTCAGGGGCTTTTTATTAGTTTGGGTTTAGTTTATGGTCTAAGCCCCTTAAATGGACATATAGTTGATTTAATGTTCTATTACAACTGACTGTGATGTGAAAACAGAAATGAAAAGGTAGTTAAGTACAATCATGCTACTTGCTTTGCTATTGCTGTTACTCCCTCCGTTCCAAATTCTAAGTCATTTTAGCTTTTCTGGATGCAGCTATGCACCTAGATATATGCCATGTCTAGATATATAGTAAAAACTATTATCTGGAAAATCTGAAACGACTTATAATTTGGAATGGAGTGAGTATATTTCTATATTTTTGTGCTCCAAGGCCTTTGCTTGTGTAGTTTTGTATTGGGTTTATCACTGGAATGTTTGTTTCTGAGGATGGTTAGTGCATAAGAGGTAGTGCCATAAGGATGGTAGATCAGTATGCACATGTTCTTCATTGATTTAATGTCATGGTCTCAGTTGCAGGTTGGAAACCAGTATTCATCTGAAAATGCAATTCAAGGTATTGAAGACAAGAAATTCTCTATAGTGTCAACTTCTCAGCTGAGCTCCTCTCAGAATTTACTGAATCAAAGGCACCACTTAGATTCCAGTTCACCAAGCAACATTACTTCTGAGTCCTATCCAGAAAAGTTCGGTCCACCTAGTGGTTCTTTTGCACAAAGGAATTCAAAAGGTAATGTTACAAGCGAAACGTCAGATGGGGTATTTTCTAGTTGTTCTGAACATGTTTGTTTATCTTGTACTCTTCTGGTGTGATTAGCTGATGTGACATTTAACTCTACAAATGCAGCGCAGAAGAAAACTGTGAACATGCAACCAAGACAGCCAACAAATGATAATGTCATGAACAGACATCCTCAAACATTAACAAGAAGAGCTTCTTATCCTTGTGAGAGCTATGAAACTGAAAGAAAAGGATTAGGGAAAAGAACTCGGGGGGATCCTCAAGTTACAATGGGTACTTCAATGGTAGTGGATGGCTCATTTGTATCATCTATGTCCTCTGATAACTCAGTTGAAGAAAGCAGCTTTCGACAACTGCAGGATGCTGTTAGTCAGGTATCATGGGTTACTAGCTTCCTTTTCTTTTCTTTTAATGTCCCATGAATCAGAAACTCCAGCCTACAGCAGTACAGCCCCTTCATTTTGTTACTGCAAATTCATGCTGCGTTTGCAGTTTTTTTTTTTAAACTTTTTTTGGCCTTGCCTTTCTGATTTCTCTAAATGACCATAAATTTGATCAAAGGAGGGACCTTGGTTTTGGTAGAACCAAAGTTCCTGTTTTCATCCTTCCTCTTAGAGGAACTAAACTAGTTCTAATAAACTATGTACCGCAGTATTAAAGTTACTTTGCGTGTCTGCTTCAGCTGGATGTGCAAACCAAATTGTGCATTAGAGATGGTTTATACCGATTGGCACGAAGTGCGCAACATAGGCAAGTTTTTCCAAATATGATGAACAGCAATGGAGATAGCCAGGATGTAAAGGATTTGCAGAATGCAGAAACTTCGCGCAAGTATGTCGTTTCTAACAAAGATCTTATCTATACTTACACAAGCATGAATCAGTATCTATGGCTTTGAAAACTGTAATCGATGGCATTGGCCTTATTGTTTAATTAGAAACTTCACAGTGTTGTCTAAAGGCTCCTAATGCAACACCTAATGCAATGTCTTTCGCACAGCCTGTTATCTCTAAAATATCATTTTGAGATGTCGAACCATGTACCAGAAGAACAATTCCTGACATCTTGGTCCCTAAGATGCTAGTTGATTGAGGTTTAAATATAGCTCTTAATTTGAGTCATGGATTAACCGGCTTGTTGACTGTTTACATGTGTTATTTGTGATGCTATAGTATCTAGTCCGTTATATGTAGTTGCCTGTTTTAAAACAGTAAGTAAGAAATATAAGAAAGGAGGCAGTTGATTATCCTTCCATGGCATGGCACAATGTCTGAAGTTGATACTCGTTACAGTACTTACAATGCAAAGGAGGCGAGAAAATGGCTTTGCCTAAGTGTAGCCTTTCCTTTTTGATGTTTCTGTTTGGCAGGTTCGTCGATCCTCGGAGCATCGAGACGCAGACAAACCCGGTCGATCGGTCTATAGCTCTGCTACTTTTCCACCAGTCATCGGACCATGCGGCTGTGGCTGTTGACGATGCCTCATCACTAAAATCCCCTGCTGATGTATGATTTCCTCCCTTCTGCATTGTATAAATCCATCTGCAGCTATAGCCCTTCGTAAGTATGACGAGGCTTTTTCCACCTTGCAGAACAAACAACACCAGGGCCCTGCTGCTAACCAAGCCCTTATGCCAGCTTCATCGGTGTATTCCCCAGGAGGTCAGGCGACCCCCAAGGATGTACAATCCCTGGACAAGTACTGAATTTATGGCGCTCCTCTCCATGACCTTGTTAAAGCGCCATGATGTGGAGCTTTCAACGTCCGTGATTTTTCGATGCAATATTGTTACAGACGTATGGGGGGCTTTCACATGATGTTTCTAGGCTTATATGTAAAAACAAGCATATTGTGTACCCAGTAGTCTGTAGTCGGTTCCAATCACATTGGTTTTGACATGCTTGTACCCTATTGTTAGACGGCCGCTGTGCTCCCTAGTGAGTGTTGACTCACATTTCTTGTGTAATCTTAAAAAAAATCTTTCTTTCCGTGCATCTCTAGCTGTACCTTTGAACTGATGCACAGGAGTGGATGGATTCGCCCAACAATCATTATACATTTGTTCCATGTTGCTAAGAAATGATTGCATGAGCTAGCTGGCCCTCACTACACCTCATGTGTAGTGGTACCTTCTTTTTTCCGTTGCTGCAAGCCTGTAATCCATCAGCGTGGGTGATGGAGACAGGTGGCCCTGAGCAAACCTTTGCTTGATTAACATGAGCAAGCAGACTGTGGGTCCAACAAACCATTAGCGTTTGACATTTGCTTGATTAGATGGTAGACTGTGGGCCTAACAATGCATTAGCGGTTGACATTTGCTTGATTAGCTAGTTAGCAGAAGATGGCAGGTATCTCAATCCGATGACTACTGATACCTCGATCCGCGCCATTAATCGCTGGATTGCTTATTCAAAACGTAAATACATTGCTCATTCAAACGGTAAATACAAAAGGGAGAATTGCGTTCTTGCCCTTGTCCCGTACTCCAATTATGATTTTGCCCTTCTTTTTTTAACTTTGTGATTTTACCCTCGCTTTTTTCAAACGAAGCTCCCGTCTACCCCTGTTTTGTAACACCGTCTAAAATGCTTGGGTTAAATGGTAAAAAAGAAAAGAAAAAGAAAAGACACCTACATAAAAAGACAATGATACCCCTCAGACCCTTTCTCCTTTCTCACCCGTTCGCTCGACCCGTTCCCGACGAGAAGTCGCGGCCCGAGGCGTAGCTACCGGCGGCGGCGTAGCTCCTCCTCCCTCCTTCCCGCTCCCCCCGGCGTGGCTCATCCTCCCTCCTTCCCGCTCCCCCCCGGCGCGTCTCCTCCTCCCTCCGCCACACTCCGACGGCGCGGCTCGCATGTTAGGGTTTGGGGAGTACCGGCGGCGGCGCGACTCATCCTCACTCCGCCCCGCTCCTCCCCAGGCTCACGCCCGCAGTGGCTGGGGCACCGCGTGGCCTGCGGCGGGCTCCGCCCCGACCCCTCCCCCCGGCTCGCGCCCGCTGCGGCGCGGCTGGGGGCCTTGGCCGCCGCCCCGTCCCCCGCCCCACAGGGTCGCGGTCGCACCATCTGCTGCTCCAGTCGGGCACCTCTGGGATAGCTGCAGGGCAGGCGGAGCGGGCGGCATCAGGCCCCCATTTGCGTGCGTGGACCAACAGGGCTCGCTCAAGGAGGTGCAGTCGCCGGCGGCGCTCGATGCCGCACTGCAGAGGGCCGGCGGCGCTCGATCCCGGCGCCCCTCCCCGACCCCCATTTGCGTGCTCTCGGGCGGCTCTAGTCGGAGCATACGCCGCGCGCCCTGCTCTGCTCGGGGCGAGCCCCCGTGGGCTGCCTCGGCTGCAGGCCCCGTGCAGGCCGACACAGCACGTCGCCACTATCGTCGGTTGGCCGAGCGAGGCCCCTCCCCTCCTTTCCACGACCGCCGTTGGTTGGCTCGACTGGAAGCGCATGCGCTCGGCCGCGCGTGGGCCTGCTCAGGGAGGTGCACAACGATGTGGGGCGGGCGGTGGCCGTGAGCTCTCGGCACGCGCACTCGCCGGTCTTCACTAGCGCGCTGCCCAGCCGGGGATGGCGGGGGCACCTACATGTCATCACCTCCGCACCGTTGCCTCTTCGACCAAGTAGCTGCACCTACGATTTGGTGAGTAATTGCTGCCTTGATGACATGCCCTGCTGGTGTTCGATGAATTGACTTGCTGCTGATCTGATAGATGTTTTCAGGGTGGCTGCTTGCTTTGATTCAATCGCTCAGATGTCTGATCTGCTCCTCGTGCATTTGAATCCCAGCAGAAGGTACAGAGATCCATGTTTGTGATTCGTGCATACTTCATCTTCATTGTTCTTGTTTGTTGATTATGTGTTTGTGCTACTGTTTTTATGCTCTGCTTGGTTGCAATTAGAGCTCAACCTCTCTCCCTGATGCGGTGGTGTCTCCAACACTGGATTGTCATCCCTGTGTTGATGCATAAATCTATGTGCTGATGGTTTCTATTCACTCTGAGGCATATGATTTCTACTTCATAATCTAGCTATATCAGAGCCCTTATTATTTCTATGCTTCATGTGTGATGGATGTTTTTAGTTGGAGGTATTTTAGATCGAGCTTTCTATGCTTTATGAGTTCGGCGATTTGATGTGGTTTGAATTTTATGCTTCGTGTGTAAAAGTTTGTATGCTCCATGTCTCATGTTTTTTTCTAGCTGGAGGTGCTGTAGCTGGATGTATCTATGCTTCATGTGTTTCTAGAATTTTTAGATCGAGCTTGTACGTCAATTAATCTGCATAAAAAGTTGTGGCCCAATCTCGATCTTCTTGCGAGCTCCAGCAACCTAGTTTGCTTGTTGATTAATATGCATAAAGAGTTGTTCCTGGTTTTTATGCGTTCTAATTTGGGTAGCTATAATGTGCGGTAAGACAACAGTGGCCAGAGCTTCGTCGCGGAGCAATATATTGAAGAGTGGATCCCCAAGTAGACTAGCACCTGATACAACTCAAGGACACGGGTGTCGGCTCTTGAAAAAAGATATATGGAAGCTTCACCATCTGTTATGTCTACTTCTGAGAAAGGTGAATTTAGCAGGCCGCTGAAAGCAAAAATCAATGAGCTTGGCATGTCAGACAGGATTGAGTGTACATATGATTCACCTTCAGTTTGGCATCTCTTTTCCAATTTGGTTAGTAAATACATGGTGTAGTTTTAGTGCTTGTAGTGTTACATGAACCAACTTGTGTGGCGGTTACTTTTGCTGAAAAAACATGTACTGTATGACATTCCTATGTGGTAAGGTACTAAGGTTATCAATGTATGCATCTACTTGTACAGTTTGTTAACCGATGTTCTACATGCATTCTTATACATTGAAGATTTTTGGTCCCACACAAGAGATTATATCAAAATATTTCTTATGGCGTTAAATCTGTCATCATTATGAACCTTTTGGTCCCAAAATTTTGAATATTTATCAATATTAAATCTGAGTTCAAATAATTGCAAGTTGTGCCAAATATGTTTGACCAAATTTAATCAATTGTCAGCATACAATAAAAAGTCTAATTCTAAATTAGGGTAAAATCACAATTAGGCATAACAAATAGGGGCAAAATCGTATGGGCATTCATGTCCTTTTGTACAAAGTTTAACACCGTTAGGGGTGGATGACGGAGCAGGAGTAAATTGGTGCTTCGTGAATGGCATAGTAGAGGTAAATTCACAAAGTTAAAAAAATATAAGCAAAATCACAATTTCGATACAAAACAAAGGTACAAATGCAAGAGCTCCGATACAAAACGATGCTTCCTTCCAGACTTACAAGGGAAACGAGCCGATTTTTCTTTAATCATCAAATCAACTGGAAGCAAGCATAAACAGACAAGTAGGCTAGGTAGGCAACAACTTTATTAGACAACAACTTTATTAGATAACAACACACAACGGATTACAAAATAGGAAGCGAGCACGTGGCCAGTGGCGGACGCACTAGGAAATTTAATTTAGGAGGCTCGTCTTCAACCTACAATAAAGAGGAACGCCTCTAGTTCTCTAGTCTGTTCTTTCTCTTCATTTCTCAAAGTTTGATTTAGGCTCACGGGAACTTCAATGAACTACCAGACTTTAGGAAGAATTGAGCACTTGAACCCGTTGTGCTGCCACGTTAAATCTAACCCTACGCTTGGGATCTTTTTTAACTTTTAAATTTTTAATCAATATTTTGAAAATAATCTACTTCATTTATTTTAGATCTAACTTTTTTGGTTGCACTATTCTATGTGACGAAAAAAATAACATCGTGTGATAATCTGCCACGTTAGTGAATCATAGGGCCGCGACCACCTCTTCAAGTTACATTTTCTCTCCTCAAAAGAAAAGTAAATGGATTAAAATATCACAGAGCTCGACATGTGCGCTACATATATTGTAAACATTCCATTTATGGGGTGTTTGTTTAGTGGAATGATGCGATCCATCACCATCTCACTCTCTAGTTTTTTTTTTTTGGTTTGGATGGCTCCAGGATTCTTCAGGGATGGCCTTTTGGAGAAGGTCAGGGGTCCTTTTATAGGGGAAGATGGAGTAGGGGATAAGACATTGCCACGTCATCAATCCGCATCAACTCCCTCAACCACCGTTGGATGAACCGACCTTAAACCGCCTTAAAATCAATGGTGTAGATGTTAGAAACGTGCACGAGGCGGCTGACACCGTGGGGGCCACCAGGGTAGGTCGACCGACCTACACAGGGGGTCGCCGACCCCCTCTCATGTCATGTGGGCCTCCCATTCTATCATGTAGGTCTATACTCCGTCTTGAGTGAGTTTTCGCGTGATTGCACATTTGTTGACGTCGGTTCGTTTGCTTGATGTGTATGATGATGGGCCCTTTGACCTGTTTTCTGGATAAATCAACCTGCATACAAATATTCAACATGTGTGGAATTCGGTAGTTTAAACCTCTACACCCATGTTTGATGTTTGATTTCAAGGATAAATGCAGGTGAAGTTGAGGACTTATTCTTGTGGTAGACACCGTCAAAAGCGGGCACCAGCTCCGGCGGCACGGTAGTGGTACTTCGCTGGGTACCCTGGCGCGGTCGCGAGCTACTTGGACAGAGGCGGGAAGGGATAAGGAGAGTTGGAAGAAAAGGAAAAAAAACAGACAAGTGGACCCCACCTATCAGTGGTCCCACTTTTGATGTTCCTAGACCAAACAGAA